GAAATTGAAGTTCATGTGCTTTAAGAGCCTCGAACTCTGGTTCCGTTCGGGGCCCCTTCTTTTCGTCTGAGCTGGCTCCCGAGGCGTTATGATTTTAACTGATATGATCTTCCCTGACCCTTTTCACCGTGTCGACTTGGCTCTGATCTACAACCACCTCCTTTCGGAGATTCGTACACCAATAACCTCACGGGAAGAAGAACAGGATGCTTCTGGTGCACACCCGTGATCACCATACGGAGTACATACATACATGGTCCGTGGCCGGTTGACAATGCAATCTAGGTCCACATGCCCATCCAGCGCAACCATTCAACCACAGTGCTCCATATGCAGGATTTCGGGTTGTGGGACCAACCCTGCAGCCTCTTTGGCGTCTGGGAAGTATTGCGACGTAAAGGCTACGGATAGTTTTTGTTGAACTCGATCGCCAACGTCCAAGACGGTTTATTTCTCCAACAGCAGTGTTGCATTGCTCCTTGGAACCCCGGAATAGAGCCCGAACCAGCAGAGCGTTCGTTTCGATCCAGTGCCCACTGTGGTAAAATTTTATCTAGGGCACACCGACATTCGATGTTGAGATTTTTCGGGTTGCATCCCTGATGAGACAAGCTGATCCCTTCTTCACTAGACCTGAGTCTGTTGAATGGTCCCTGTTCTATTCATATCGCGGCTTAAAAATTTGTCGCCTCTTTCAATACTGCGACTGGGCTTACTTGTTTCACGCTTGGTCAGTGGCCATTCACATTGGCCTTGTTGTTTACGACTTGGCTAGCCTCTCTCCTATTTGAAGATCATGACTCATTCGCTATGAGGAATGGTTATCATTTTCCATGGCTGTACCGTTATCAACAAAAGAACACTTGACCTCGGTCCTACGTGATTTAGAACGACTGCTCGCATATTTTCGCATTTTGTCAAATAATAAGCTAGCAAGGCAGTTCCACAAGATGATCTTATTTGAGATTTTATGCAACCGTGCAATTTAACTTATCCTAGCGGCCCTTTGTTGTACGCTCCACCTTTTACTCTGTGGTTGTCGTGATTCGACTCGTGATTCTTCATGTGAGTGGGCTCTTGTAGAACCCGTTTTGACGTTTTGGAGGTCGATCTGATCAACCTCAAACGGTTGTTTCCCGCTATGAACGATCATGTGCTGTTCACAAGCTTTTGTTCCATGCATTGGCCACAACGGTGCCTGTCCTATGTATGTCTTGAACAGCGCCACCGTTTCGAGTCAGATGATTTGGCGCCTTTTGGGTTCATTCCTCCTCATCTTGACATGATCATCCCACTCGCATATTGGCGATCCCCGAAATACCGATATCCTTGGTATATATCTCTGATAATAGTATCAATCTCAGAGACGTACATATACCCTATGAATGCTTCGGATTTGAATCGCAGTTTTCTATACTAGGCTATATCTTGTAGAAGCATAAGAATTTGGAAGCAGAATGCCTTGGAGTCAGACATTGTAATATCTACCATGGTAGCTATCACCATTTTCCGTACCTCGACGTAAGGACGTCCAAGACAGATGGAACCGAAGTTCCCGTTTGCATGATCTCGTGCGCATGCGTGTCATGATCTTATACACGGCCAACCTTGTTTAACCGCCCGTTCCGTCGTGCCCTGGAATTGGTCGAGTCAACCGTACATCAAGTACATGATAGCATAAGTGAATGAATGCGTGGTATTCCATGCTGGCTGTCGCACTTTTGCTGTTCTAGGACAATGACGACTCATCCCGAAGACTCGAGCTTATCCTCGTCGAGAAACGAAACGAAACGTTGATGCAAGCCCCGCACCCTTGCAGATTGAGCTACGGCCATGTGCCATACTTTCATGCCCACCATCACTTCTCTGATGGCACCCAAAGCTCCCGGAACGGCTTGTTTCTCATGTCTTTGTTTGGTTGGTGGTGTGTTGGACCCTTGTCCTGATCTTGGGCGTAAGCTAAAATACTTGGTCCAGGTTAGCCTGTTGATTGCTTGTCCTTGGCCGTATGAAGGCTAGAAGGCTATCATGCACCACACAGTCTGTGCCCGGCATGTGAGTGTGTACGTGAAAAGGCAGAGATATTGTGAACCCAGGCCTACCATGCCCGATTCGATGAGAGATTCCATGCCTAGCGGGGACTCCTGCATCTCGAATTTTCTTTCTTGCCGGCTGGGTTTTCTGATCTTGGATCAGACGAGAGATCTTCGTATTACTTCCCTCTTTCAACGATCTGTCAGGCCGTTTATCCATATCTTGTTTGATATGACTCTCGTGGGGTATACTGAGACAGCGGTGAGATTAAGCAAAAGTGCAATGCGGCGCAAAGAACAAAACGCCGTTAGACACCACAGTTTATTGTGTATTGTCGTTAACATCGGGCGTAGAAGGTGATGCATAGTAGTATATGTAATCGATATACGGATAGGAACAGTGTCATTGCGTCAGGGTCGGTCCTGGGCCCAGGTAGCCATGATGCAAACCCTGTACAAGTTTGTCTCAACTTACAAAACACCCAAGCGTCTTTAGGGCAGTTCTTCGGACTGTTGAGGCTGTTGAACCGCCACCGAGGATCTTGGACTTGATTGGAGCTTTTGGAGAGGACCCCGTATTGGTTCGACCGTGTGCCAATGGATTTTTGATCGAATTTTCGATCTGCTTCGATGAAGGACCCCCCCAGTGAGTGTTGCTCCGTATACCACAATAATATCTGTTCCAGCATGTGTCTGTCCCCGATTCGATATGTCCTCAGTGCAATAGGTACACGCTTCGTTTAGTGTCGATTTTGACCGAAATGTATCATTACGCCGGCATCAGAAAGCTGGTTGTCTATTGAAGAATGTTTCGTTTCATGGGTGCCCATCATCGTGTTTTCCGAGTAGTCTGCGCCGAAAGCTTTATATTGGGATATCGAATGCTGGGTGTCCAAATCAGGGGCTCTTGGACCACATGAGAAAGCTGATTGATTCGAACAAGTCTTATTAACATTACAAGTATTAGCTTTCGTGAATAGCTGGGCAGTATAATGACTGTGACTTAACTTCGACCATCCCTCTTCGAGAGAACTTGACGATTCTAACTGTGTTCTTTCACGCACGCGTGAGTTTGCCAGTAGCCACGTCTGGAGATTAAGCTTCTGTATTAGAGGCTTATCATACCTTAGGCAGCTGTAAGTAAGGTTACAAATTGAGCCATTATAAAAGCATATTATTATCTTTTAAATTAACAGGCGTATCTTTACTAAGGAAGTATTATGTTGATTGTGACTTTTTAGCGTATTGGCTTGATATGTCTCGTTGAGATGCCAGAAGCTTTAACTATCAATCAATCAATCAGCAAACTTGGACCATTTCGAAATCTGCTCAACTACCAAGGTATATGTAACAGGATATTGAAACATGTACTGTTGTTGTAGAGTTGCTTGGTAGATGGCACGATCTGTGCCTCGGGCCAGGCTCGTCCTTGGGAGTTCCTCAACAGTTCAGGGGTATCTCAGGCATGTCTCCTTCTATTGACTCTGGAGACCTGTCACGACTCAAAAAGTTGTAGACCAATGAGACATGGGAGTCAACGATATAGACGGGGTAATTAAATAATGAATCGCAGTGTCGTTATGTGGCTATGACCGAATCTTGATGGGATCGAAGTTTCATAACGGCGGTGGACGACACGATTACGGCTCGAGGGATTTAGAGATTCTGGAGAAAGTTAGAAATGGGTTTGCTAGTCTTGTGACAGGAGTTAATCGAGAAAGGGGAAATCTCTTGGTAACCAGCAGATGTGTGAAGACTCCTATGTGCCTGTTCTTAGCTTTCTGACCCCAGCTCAGGTCTTGCTTGCCGTGCATCTCCGAAGCCAAGGACTATTCGTGAAGGAAATAAAGACTTCAAATGTTTTGTTGGAGTCATTTACTCGTGGCGATTCGATGTTTGTATTCTGTAAGGGGTTGTGCGGTTGGATGCCGATCGAGAGCTCGAGTCTGGGGGTCAACCCCTTTTCCACATTTGATGTAAAAGACACAGATTGACAGGATGAAGTATGTTGCGGTAAATCGCGAGATGATAATTTCTGCTGTTTTTTGCAGAAAAGATAAACCAGTGGGTGTACAGCGAACAGTCTGTCGATGCAGGTTGCCATGTTCACAGGATGGAGTGAACAGCACATGAACCATCACCCAGTGCGTCAAGGTTCATTACATCTTGGTGCATTCCTGGAGAACAAATAGAAGCCTAATGTCGGCACTTGGAGATTTATTCAGAAGGTATACAGCTGGAGGCGGTGCTGGGAGGATGCTTGCTGCCTGCCGAGCCCCCTAAGCCATGCCCTAGGTTTTAGGGGATGTATCACAGACGACAGCTCTACAGCGCTGGCACTACAAAACTACATCACACGCAAATTATTACGCCAGAGAAGCCATACATAAGACTTGTAGAGATGTGCATATGATAGGATACCTACAGCGGCCGAGTTACATGACACCCCTTGTTTCATCCGATGTCTCGTTTTAGACTTTGACATCCGCTAAAATTACTTCCATTGTTTGCAACTCTCTATTGTGCTCTATTGAGCTGAACTCTTTACAATAGACCAACAGTGCGAGTGCACTTGGCCGTTTATCCTCTTACCTATGCTCCCTTCATTGCCAGGAGTTGGTTCCGTGGTGACGTGCCTGAGTCACACCCCGCAGCCTTTCTCTTTCTGCACCTCCACGCGCGCTGCAAACGCCGTTCACAAAGCTTAGTAGCTACTAACTTTGGCAGTGAATCAGGGCCTACTTATGCACTCGGGGTGGGGTATATCTTCTCGTCTATTATCTTTCCCTCTCTTCTCCCTCTTCCTTTCTTCCTCCTACTTCTCACTTCCTCTTTTCATCCTCACCCTTCCCTTCTTTCTTCTCTCCTAAACCAAACATCTGAACTTCATCTTGGACTTCTCTTGGGCCTCCTTTACTCAGATCTCTTGACAATCTCGCTGTCTTTTGTACGGCAAAGCCTTCAACCATGGCTAAACACAGATCCAAAGCAAAATTTCGGAACAAGAACAAACAGAATGTTCCTGGCAACATTCCTATTAACTCGACTATTGAGACGAACTCAGAATGGAACATAGCCGCTGGATTGACTCAGACTACCCCATTCAACAACAGTCATCATGCTCACCAACCTCTCATGAAGTTGACTCCTCCGGGACGCTATGGCCCCAAGGAGTCTCGAGAGCGTCTCGAGTCACAGGGCTACCACGCGTTGGTCACAAGCATGACTAAGAAAGAGGTCGAGGCCTCTTACGAGGAGAAACGAAAGAAGAGCCTCTACAAGCCACATTTTAGTGATTTTGTCGGCCAGGGAAGAGAACAAGGCTTCCAAGGTCGGTACACTTCCGACATGAATCTACTCATCCAGGCAACCGAGTCCTCCTTTGAGAGCGAGCATAAGACCTCTCAACTCACCAAGGAAGTGTTCGACGGAACACACCCGCAAGGCCTGCTGATTGCACAGCAGCTTGCTTCGCTCGGCATCAAGCAACTCGAAAAGCTTGCTCTTGCTCGCCCACAAGAATGGGACGCCCTTTCCAAGGGTATGGCCATTTGGGATTTCACTACCAATAAGTTCCATGGCGAACCATCTGGTCACGTTTTTTTGTGTCTTTTCCCAAAGATTTCTCAGAGAGCGTTCAGCGAGTCACCTGCCCACGAGGAATCTCGAAAAGAGGAAGAAAGTACTCGGGATAAGGTCATCAAGCTGATCAAGTGGATTTACTCTCAATGTGGTCCTACAAAGCGACCTGCTTGGCATGCTAAAGAAAAACTGAAGATGCAAACCGAGGGGCCGAGTCCGGAAGTCTTACGCTGTCTCAACAGAGCCACAAAGCCACCACGGGTTGTGATCAACATGGCCAGGTCCATCCCAGACATCAGTGAACTCGAGGACATGATGCGAGACTATGTCGACCCACGCGAGAATCTCGACTATTACATGTCAAAGCCAGTCGCACTGAAGCATATGTTCGGCCTCCGTAAGTTCCCATTGCATTCTACATCTGTGCTTTCACTAACAAATCATAGTCACGAATATCTTCAACAGAAGGACAAATATTCGTGTTCTTCACTTTCAGAAGACGCCGCTTCTTGACCGACGACTTTTGTCATGCATCTTGCGTGCTTGCCCTCATATCACGACCCTCGGTATCTATCAATGCCCCTTGATTCACTTTGGTGATATCATCTGCATTTTGGACCTTATCCATGAGGTCAACTTGAAGCGCAGCAGTCAGGGCTTGCCGCTGGTAGAAGCCTTAGACTTTTACCCTCTGTACCAAGCCGGCATGCCCTTCAAGGTGCCCGCTGCCGAAAGACTCACCCGGGCAGAGAAGCAGCGTGGTATGGAGCCTGCTGCGAGGGAAACCCTTGGATACGGCATCACTTGGACCCATGAGGACCTCCAGGTGGTTCAGCGAGGCGTTTTTGCTATTCTTCTGAAAACTGTCCTCAAGGCTCGCAAGATGGGCATCCGTCTCTTGTTGGATAAAGACGCAGCCTTCATGAAGTACCTTACAGATATCCCTATGCTACCTGGGATGATTTTTCAATTCCTAGACGGGTTGTACCGCTATCTGGATCTCAAAGAGGCTGGGTCCCAAGACCACACCGCCATGACGAGAGCAAAGTACGACATGATCCTGGCCGTACGCACTGGCCTAAAGCCGCCAAATTACAACAGTCTCGACCCGTCGTACGACGATACTCGAAAGGTCACTTCACTCTTTTGCCGTTCGTGTGGGTACAAGATGTTGGACGTCTTCTTCTGCCCCCGGCAGATCCAAAACCGACCTGACCCTCAAGATTGCGCTGGGTGTACGCTTCAGGGTTTGCTTGACCACCAAAGCGATCATCAAAAGCAGCATGACATCAATCTGATGGGACCCTTCTTAGAGAAGAACTGGGACCCCAAAGGTTTCAACGTTGATGCTCCAGTCCATGACCATGGCCAAGAACTCCTTTCGTTGCACACCCGGAAGACCACAAATGATCTCCCTCAGATGGTGCTCCTCCCAAATGGTGATTTCGACCGGCCGTCGTTACAGGAGCAACTTATTTGCGAGCACAAGAAGAATAACGACTGTCTCCAGGGCCTGGTCACCCTTCAAGACCTGCTCCTACAGAATGACGCCCAGACAGAAGACCAGAAGAACGACCAGAAGGCGGCTGCTAAGAACTATGCCCTCAATATTGATGCATGCCGAGCCCTCTCGATCATCATGGTTTACATTGACTCCGAACTTGCTGGGCTGGCAGACAATCACGGTGTCGGGGGTCATTTCTGTGAAGGCCAAGGATGGCGTCCTCGCATTGACGGCTTCAGAGATCCAAAGCGAAGCCACACATTCGACTCAGCCGCGAAGGTGGCCGCAGAGCTCAAGGTGGCGGCCGAAATTGAAGAAGGTCAACGACCGAAGCAGGATGCTGCCGGATTTTGGTGATGCTGGGAAACCCCACCTAGGTCAGCCCTACAACTTGGGAACTCACGGAACGTTTGGTTGCTTTTGATTTGTTGGTACATGGCACATTGCAGAACCCAGGATGCGGTTTTGCTTACGATACCCAAAGAACTTGATGATAGCTTCACGGAGGATAGAACGAGAGCTTTTGAAGGAAAATGGAAGCTGGCTATAATGGGAGAATGAGCACAGCTTGGGATAGTTGGTGCTGAGATAGCTATTTTCTGATCCGTAGCATTAATCAAGTTCACCATAATAAAACGAGGCCCCGGTGAAAGTTTGGCAAGACCCTGTTCATCATGGCTAGAATGTATCATACCAATTTTGTAAAGACATAGATCTTGTTATCTCCAGGACATGATGCTTATGGAGGTTGAAGGTCGAGATAGGAAAAGTGGATTCCGGGGTGACTTTATCCACACGTGATTCGACGATTCGGCACTCAAAGGCAAACCTCGACTGTCCAAGGATAGAACTTCTCTCTGACCAGGGTTGTCCGCCTCAGAATCAACCACGATGGCTTCATTTCTTCGCGCCTTCTCGCTATCAGCGAGATCATTGACTCCAAGCAATGCCATGGGCGCTTTTGCGACTCGCGGCAACTGGTCGCTCTTTGCCAGCCCGTCAATGACGCCCATCTCTCGAGCACTCGGAAACGGTTTGATGCAACAGACTCGCGGCATGAAGGTTCACAGTTCGGTAAAGAAGCGATGCGAGCACTGTAAGGTAAGAGAGGGCATCCAGGAACTTCCCTTTAGGTCAGGGACTATAGGTGGGCAGAACTGATACTCGATAGGTTGTTCGACGGAAAGCCGGCAAGCGACATAACGGTTACCTGTACATCATCTGCAAGGCGAATCCTCGACATAAGCAACGACAAGGCTAATTACGAATGACGGGATACGGGAGGATATGTACGATATGTGTGAACCAACTGCGAGTCGGACATTGCTAGACGGGGCCACGGGAAACATCATGTGTGATAGAACGAACGAAATACTGGGCGATTCTTTCAGCGAGAAGCCTTGAATAAAAATTCTATGGAATTTGAGAACAAGACGACAGCGCTGGGATTGGAACTGTTCGTCATGTACAACTACATCTACATTCACAACTGCTGCGCTACATACCATCGATATACCTCTCCATGCCTTCCCATTCCGTCTTTCCAATTGAGAGGAGATACCGAACGTGTGACTTGGAGATAACAGTCAGTAAGTGGGTCGAGAAGCGAATGAGGGAAACATACAGCGTCTGTCACGTTGCGACGCCGTTCAAATTCGTCGCGGGCGTATTTTCGAGACTCAGCTCTCGTTGTAGGATCAGCGATCTTTTTTGTCCCGCGGAGGATAGTGCGGTAGAAAGCCAAGACCCGACCTCTTTGAATGAACTAGATCCGATTTCTATCAGTATTTGACATGATGAAACTTGTATTAGACCCGAGAATGTAGATCATACCTGGTCGAGACTTAACGTTGGCTTGAGACGAGAACCGCCTGATCTGGTGGCATAGCCACGGCTGAATGCCAGCAAACGAATGCTAAGGCCCATTCCGCCAACTTCTACCTCGTTAAATGAGAAATAGTGAATTTTGACATTCCTTGAAGTTTAGATATTGATGATGAAAAGCTTCAAACGATGCTTTCTCATCATGTCGGACGAACCTCGGCTATCTAGAGGGTCTGGTCTTGCCGGCCCATTCAACATCCATATTGTTAGTGGAAGGTGTGACCATGCCTGACAGAGGCAGGTATATTATCGCCTTGCCGTTCTCATAGGATTGTTACCGTTTCAATACTTTCATCCTTAATTCTTCGTCATACGTTCTTTAGTATCAAGACCTCACATTAAAACCATGACAGATACGAATGGCACAAAAGAACCAAGGAGATTGGTTGGAAGAAGGCGACAACGACCTGAAAACCCCATTGAGACGGCCAATAAGGTCGAAGACGATGAGTTTATGACACAATATATGAAGCCAAGGTTAGTTTACGTCGTTTAACTACCAGACAAACCAGTTATAACAAGCGTGATATCTAGTAGCAAGGATTGGCCAGAATGGAAACACCCACAAGACGAAACAACCTATACCATGAGCCTCATACGTCCTACTCACATGAGCGATGAAGATCTGGAGGCATGTTATAACTTGGTAGAAGAAACAAGTGGCCAAGATTATCGCACTTCATCTCTCGGCTGGCATCCAGCCACTAAGAAGAAGGAGATGCGGTCCCCGGATCTTCGTTACATCCTCGTAAAAGATAGCAAGGACCACATAAAAGGTTTTACATCTTTTATGCCGACATTCGAGAACCATGAACCGGTCGTTTACTGCTATGAGATACATCTCAAGCCAGAGCTACAAAGGTGAGCCAGCCAAGATGATCGTTCCTGAGATCATCCGTATTTCAACGGGGATCTGTCTATCATGCAGGAGTGTACCACAAATAGAACACGGATGGCCGTGGAGCTAGCTGACATCCAATAAAGAACAGGTCTCGGCAAGAAGCTTATGGGCTACTTCACGGACGTCGCGGAGAATATACCTTCGGTGGAAAAGGCCATGCTGACGTGTTTTGTCAGCAACAAATCTGCCCTCAAGTTCTACGAGAAGCTCGGATTCTCGAAAGATGATTACTCACCGAGGGCGCGAAAACTACGAGGAGAAAAGGTGGTGATACCCGACTATGTGATACTTAGTCGACAAACAACCTCTAAGAGAGTCGAGGCTTCGCGGGCGCACGAGCCTGGACTTCGATGAGAAAGAAGATATCTAGATACAAGCAACACGGACTTTATCTCGTTGCGGTTGCAAGGCAGCTCGTATTACTACGTGCGGTCACGGCCGCTTATTAGTGTAGAAACGGATTGAAGTCACGTCTCCTTTCAACCACTCTACAATCGCATTTGGGGTTGTCAATTGTAACGGTATTCGACATAAAAATCCTACTAGGCATTTTTTCATGTCGATTCACCTGTTCAGGCGTGCTTTAGCCGCAAATATCAAGCATTGCATTGCTCCATCTTCAATGAGACGCTACCACTCTGGATGCCCCAGCTTTTTAAGGGATGTATGTACACGTCTTTTCTAAGAATATCACCGTGGAATGACCCTCGCATTGGTGGCCGAACTTTGCCTAGTCTGGCCTATTGAAGCCCAAGCTGAGAGTTGTCCTCAACACCCTTTTGACTCTGACCGGGCAAGATCAGACACGACTGTAAGAGCTACCCAATTCAAAGACTGATGGCCTCATGATAAGCGGCTCAACTAACCAGCTTGGGCGACATTAATCTTCTGCAGCTCCAAAGATCCCTTCACCAAGGCTGACACGCTGGGGGGCACACTCCACTACCACTCACCAACCGTGTCAGCCCTAGGACGCTAGTCAGAGGCCGTGGCTGAACTACCTTTTCTAGGAAACAGCTCTACCGTGAATCACCGCACTTGGAAAGTAGGTATTCTGCTTGCTGGGTTTGTGCAGAGTTGTACAAGTTGCACAGCCAGTTTGTGAGACATAGCGTCGGTGCCAATGCGGTAGCTGCGTGCAACCAAGGAATGATTTTCATCATATTTCTGAGCTCGAGGCGTCAGACGGCTTCTAGCTAGGCTGCTAGGCTCCCCTGTTGCCTGTCCTGTCATCGAAATGAAGGGCGACCTAGCTAACGTGGCGGCTTAGAGCTGAAGCTCTGAGAGGAGAGGGCTTGCTTGTGATACGCCAGTCTGAAACGAAAGGCGTGTACCGTGCCGAGACTGTTGATTGTCCGTAGGAGTTTCTCTCATAAGGTGCCGTTGCGCACTCTTGGCCGTTGTGCATCTCTCTCCCTCTTCCTCCAACCCACACTCTATCTTCTTGGCTCAGATTCTGTGCAACTACCTATAAAGCAATTACTTGGTCAATTGACTCACGCATCATTCACAATGGCCCAGCAGTACTCTCAGGGACCTAATGTCCAGAACCAGGAATGGCAGAACAACCTCTGCAATTGCTCGCCTTGCGACTCTTGCCTGCTCGGCACTTTCTGCCCCTGTATCCGTATGTGATCTCTGGAATAAATTGATTGCAATTGGAAGACTAATGAACTCGCCATAGTCTTGGGTAAAACCGCTGATCGTATGAGAGACCCTACGATGCAGACTGCCGATACCTGCAACAGCGATGCTCTTATATTCTGTGCGATCAACTGCGTGACTGGCTGTGGTTGGATGTAAGAAGACGATTACCGAAGTCTTGTTCGGAACCATCAACTAATACATGACTCCTAGTTACTCCATGATGAAGCGTGGTGAGATCCGTGAGCGATTCGGCATCAAGGGCAGTGGCATGAACGATTGCTGCGTCAGTTACTGGTGCCTCTGCTGTGCTCTCATCCAGCAGGACAACGAAGTCAAGTCTCGCCTCTCCCAGGGGCCTATCACCCAGGGCTACCAAGCTCAGAAGGAGGGTATGCACATGCCAACATCTCCTCCTGCTCAGCAGCAGCAGCAGCAGCAACAGCAATATCATGATCAGAAGCCTAGCCCTCAGCAGCAGGCCCCTCAGCCCGATTATCAGCTTCCTCAGCACGGTTACCAGTCTCCCCAGCCTCAGGGATCCTACCCTCCACCTCAGCAGACTTACAACCCTCAGCAGCCCCAGTATTAGGCCATTCGACCAGGGATTGTACATCAAGATGGAGCCTCACACCAATATGACACCACAAAAAGAAAGAAATGCACGTGAAGGAGACAATCAGAGGAATGTCTGGCATGTGAATTGACTTTGAGCGCGGACGGGTACGCGCCAACGGATTATACCTACCTATATACCCAGTGACGAAGACGGTCATTTCTTATTTATATTATATTTACTTCGATGTATTATTTGCTTCAATGGAATAATCTACTCCTGTTAGCCTCTCTGGTACATATGAAAGCGTCATACTCATTCTTCCCTTCTCTTTTGAATTGCCTAGTTCGGCGACGGAATACGAAATGGAGAATCAGCAGACAATATTACTGAAACTCTAAAATAAAAAAACTTCAGGCTTCAGCTCGAGAGAACCTCGTAAGCTACTATATCATTTAGGATCCCACTTGACCTTCCCCTTCAAGGCATGGTTTTGTTTCGCTTTGCAATGATGCTTTCCGGGATTACAGTCTGTGCACTTTGATATTTCGGCGATTTCCATGTTGCGGAGCTATTCCGATACTCGGAATCACAACTTGTGAGATCAGTGTGTGGATCATCATTACGGAGTACTACGGAGTAATAAGCAGCGGTTCTTGAGAATTTACTGGTACAATCGCTTAATGATATATACATACACTTACGAGATGGTGCTGACACTAACCTCCCCTACTGATCCTCGCAAAATGTATCACAACTCGGACAGACCGGCAGCACTTCAGTATTCCTGGGGGTATCAATAAAAATTTCATTCATGACCTCTGTCCCTGTCGTTTTTTCAGACTGACAGCAAAACGCCCACGCCGCACCTCTATAGTGGTTGGACAAACGCCTATTCAGATCTACGGTTATAGAGGCTCTTTACCCTCAACCCAAATCAAACCCTTCTGAATCTTGTGCCCAAATCCCCGATGCAATTGAATGCATATAAACAAACCAGTCCATTTTTCCGTATCCCTTTCCATCATCCCATCATTTTTCCAAACATATATCATTACGCATAAAGCTTCTTCTCATAAGACTCCATGTTGACGTTGCCCTCCAACTGGGCGCTGGCTGTTCGAAGCTCGAAACGCAGCTCACCAGCCTCGGCACTCTCGTGCATAGTCTTGAGGCTGGTCATGCCACTGTCCTGGAGAGAGTGCTTGAGTCCAGCAGCGAGATAGGGAACGAACTTGTTGATCGAACTATTGCATGTTAGCATTCACGATTCCATTCGGCTTCGAGTTCTGACTTACCCTCGGTGAGCAACAGCGCCAGAGACACCCTGAGCAACCAGGACGCTATCACCCTCAGAAAAGTAACGGGCAGTACCGGCGTTGCTCTTCTGGCTATCCTTACCACCGTTGCCGGCCTTCTTGTCCTGCATAGCATCGATACTTCCCATACCTCGGTAAGCCTTGACGAGCTTACCCTCCCGGGAGACGAAAGAAGTGCCGGGGGACTCAGTGGTACCAGCCAACAGACCACCCATCATGATGGTAGAAGCACCCAGAGCAAGGCCCTTGACGATGTGACCAACGTTCTGGATACCACCATCGGCGATACAAGGAACACCGAAGCGGGCAGCGAAGCGGCTGACGCTATAGACAGCGGCAGCCTGAGGACGGCCGACAGCCATGACCTCCTGTGTGATACAGGCAGAACCACTGCCCATACCAATTCGGAGACCGTCGACACCAGCAGCGATCAGAGAAGCAGCCTGCTCTCGAGTCACGACGTTTCCGCCAATGACATCGACACCAGGGAACTCACTCTTGACCCACTTGATCATCTCAATCTGATACATGCTGTTACCCTGAGAGCTGTCAAGGATAACGATGTCAAGGCCGGCGTCAACCAGCTTCTTGAGGCGAAGCTTGTCCTCGGGGCGAGTGCCAATAGCAGCAGCGCAAAGGAGCTGCTTGCTGTCGGGAAGCTTAGAGGCATTGGGGAAGTGCTGGTTCTTAGTCAAATCGGAGCGAGAGATCATAGAGACCAGGTTGAAGTCCTTGTCGACAATGGGCAGCTTGCCCTTCTTGGATTTGGAAAGACTCTTGTTGGCTTCGAGGAGAGTGACGTGCTCGGGAGCAGTGACAAGGTCAGTAACCATGACATTGGAGACGGGCTGGTCAAGGTCCTCCTCGAACTGGAGGTCTCGGTTGGTAACAATACCAAGCAGCTTGGAACCAAGCTTGCCATCGGCTAAATTTTTTCTTGTCAGCCCAATATTCTTGTGCGGGGCAATGCGAGCATAGATGACAAAACAACGAGTTGTGGTGATTGATCATAGTAAATCAAGTCCCCATGACAATAGTCTATACGGTGGAACGAAAGTTATATAAAAGGGTGTATAATCATGCAATCTTGTGAGAGGTGAGGATGCTGTATAACACTTACCAGTGACTGGGAAACCACCGAAACCCCACTTCTCCTTCAGAGCTTTGGCCTCACCAACAGTGGTGTTGCGATCAATGACGATAGGGTCGAGGATGAAACCGTTCTCGTATCGCTTGACCTTGCGGACCATATCGGCCTGGGCCTCAGGAGAGCAGTTGTGGTGGATGACACCAAGACCACCCTGGAGAGCCATGTGGATAGCCATCTCGTGCTCTGTGACAGTGTCCATGGGAGACGAAACGAAGGGGGTCTTGAGGGTGATGCGCTTAGTGATAGGCGCATCGAGAGTGACCTCAGAGGCAGCGAAGCCAATGTAGCCGGGTAGAAGCAGGAAGTCATTGTAGGTAAGACCACCGTGCTTGGTTGTGTCCATAAGCTCGTGGATGTCGAGGCCATCCTTCTGCTTGTACTCCTTCAGCACCTCGAGGGCTGTGGTGAAGTCAAGGACTGAGGTAGACATGACTGGCAGATAAAAGAGTATATGACGAGAAGAATGGAAATGTGAGGTCGAAGGCGAGTTGAGTCGATAGGTAAGCAAGCTCTGGCCTTTAGTATCGACTGCTAAGATTGATAGAACGCTTCTTCCCGAAAGAAAGAAAAGAGAAAAGAATTGGTGGTGCTGCCTCAAAAACTTTTTTATGGGACGCGGGACCCTGCAAGGTGAGGGGCGACTTGGAGGGGCAGTTGCTTCTCTGAATGGATGAACTTGGTCAAGGCTCTCGAGGCAGGTGGATTCGAAGCTCTGCTAGTTTTTCTTGCCGAGATCGCTAGCTAACATTAATAAGCTCCTCATCACCACTGTGAAATTGACCTACCCTGCAGCTGTGATGTTGAAGTCTTCTAATGGATCAACTGCACTTGTCTACGCTGCTAGGAGACGAATGAAAACTCAGGACCTTGGACCTAAATGACAAAAAGACTTAGTAACTTAGCATAAGTTTGGGATAAGTTTAGGATAAACCTAGGGTATCTTTTGCTTAGTCTATCTTGAGATCTTTTCCCGGGTCTGATATTTTCTTGCTCCTTGAGGCTCTGGGATGGCTTATGATAATGAGCCGAGTACTGCATACATTGAGTTTGGTAAGTTGTTCTTTAGCTTTGAGTATGTATGAGTTGTCAACCGTGCCAGGCCCTTCACAAACTGAAGTATATCTTGACTTCAACGTCATTTCCCCATCGAGTTTCAAGACCCAATTCCTTCCAGGCTTTTCCAACGTCGATCTCAAGTACACGAGGATCAACGTTGGAAACGGCCACGGTATGCAAGGGTATCACCTTTTCTTGAACCGTGATTAGGAAATCACCTTCGATCGTTAAAGAAGGGAGTGTAGAGACATAGATCCCTAAAGATTGTTAGATTTTAGTCATCGTAAAAACGCAGTAATACTCCTTACCCAGGGTGCCAAATGCTTTTACTCGCGTATCGACCAGAACACGGCCATTCTCCCGCTCTTGAACATCACTCATGAGGATTGCTGCTGCGCCAGCCATCTTGCCCAACAGGCCCAAATTCGAGATCGCGACACTGCCATATTTCTTGCTGCTAAGGCGAGTCAGGGGAAAGGCGGAGAGAATATCATACCCCCTGACAGGCAACGAGATAGTAAATAGTGACTCCGGGCTCTCGATCTTGGTAGGATGAGAAATTTTACCCGTGGTATGAGCACGAACCACGTATTCAAGATCGTGAACCACACCAGGGAACGCCGAAAGGGATACCAATTCAGTCAATGCCCGAGAGGAGATATTGAAAATGGCCATAATAGGACTTCCGGTATGTGAGGCTCCTGGATCATGATTAGCACACACTACTAGCTTCCCTCTATATAATTCTCACCATGATAGCTTCCAACCTTGAGGAGTAAATCATCGTCGTATCCGATATAAGGGTCAACGGCCTTTCCCAAAGAGCTAGGCCGGAATATGACAGTCTTACCCCGCGGGGTGCGACCACTCATTTGATCAATGAGATCCATGTCATGCTCACCGGGAACATCAGTGATATAAATCGGACCTCCGCTCACACATCTGGCCGCAGCATGAAATCCGGAATACTCATGGACAGTTTGGAACATGTCCCAGTCCGGAAGAACATTTAGATGCTGCATAAAAATAGCATTGTACGCATTTGTCCACACGTGCCAGGGATGTGAAGCAGGAATCTCAGGGAAGAAGTCGTCGGAGTTTCGAACAAGAATGGAAAGCCGATTGGTTGGCATCTGCGAGTGGAAGAGTGCCTCCGGGAACTGCGACATACATGATATCGCCTTTCCACTAAAATGACGAAGTATCGATATAGTCCACGCATCGAGGTACGTATCGATCAGATCTCGGCGAGGGGAGGCTTCAATCCACGTATCGATCATGAACTGCGCGTCCGTCTTGACAGCATCGATACCGGCATCCGAAAGGAATCGATAAAAGTCATCATAGAATCGATTCACATCTTCTTGTGCGATCACCGTCATCTTACCACCCAACGGAAGGTTTCGGCGGTCGGCGTCTTCCCGTGTCACTTCGATGGTCTTGTATGTCTTAGCAAGCTTGCCGTCAGGAGAAATGCCACCCCAGTAGCCCAGGAGGGCATGCCAAACAGCAATGTGTTGGATGTGTGGATGGTTCTGTCGAATTTGAGATATGGTGAATTTTAAGCCTTTAGGAAATGCCTTGGGCTCCGCTTCGAAATCGTTCCAGCCATATTGAAACTGGCTGGGGCCGCGATAGTCGATCGACTGCCAGTTGTCATCAATGATGAGACTAGATACTTGGATATTGTGCTCAGAAAGTTTATCGAGAGCATCGAATATTTTGTGGTCCGTTAGTCGTTGCCCCAGAGCGTTCCACGTGCCTGTAAATCATCAGTTCGTGGTCCTTGGAAGTTGGCCATACTCAAGAACACACAGAAACCCAGTCCATCAAACCAGTATTCTAGCCACTCTGGTTTGAAGTCATTATTCAATGCAGATAACTCCTGCGACCACTCATCGCTGGCCTTCTTTGTTCCCGCAACCATATCTCGAGCATGATACATCACAGATGCAATGGCGCAGTCGAAATCTTCTCCAACCGAAACAAGAATAACGGCCTTTTCTTCGGAAAGACCGTCATTTCGGATCTGAATTGTCAGATATTGTAAGAAACTGAATCAGACACACTTACGTGAACCTGAAGCTTTCCATTGGACTCGCTTCTAAATACTGGCAAGACATGATTGACACCGCTGACGGCAAGGAACACTAGATTTTGACCTTGGGGGCTTAAGAAGCAACAGATAATGGCATCTTTATCGAGGTTAAATTGTGAGTGCCCATGGCGAGGTGCAAGCCACGGTGACCATAGTCGGACAAGAGAAAACCATCTATGATCAGTCAGATAACATTGTCGCTGATGGAATTCCCGTACGTCGTCGTGTCGCTCAGCTGAACTCACCTAACAAAAGAGCCCCAGGGAGTACCGATAGTGATGTCTCTGTACGAAGACTCATCACCATTTGCAGCTGGAATGACTGCTTCGAGTGACCAGAGTGAAGTTCTAGGCGATTGACTCAAACGTGGCTTGACACTCCAGTCTTGAGAGTTAAGATCGGGAATTGAATCAGAGAGATCACTACAATAAATTCTGTTAGAAGCATTGACAATCAGGCCATCATTGGCACCCTGTTCATCGCGAATCCATCTCCAGTCTGCATCAGGACTATGCCGAAACTTGAGAGTGAACTGCACAGATGTTGTAAATGAGAAGGAAGACGTGAAATAGAACCGTGACATAGAATCATCCAGTACTTGGAGAGTCTGAGGAACTCCAGTGTCTGTGAGTGAGGCCACCTCCAGGTCTTTCCAATCTGAGCCGTCTACTGAGTGCCATACTGAGACCTCCCATGGCTCATTGGTACGGTACTTGGGTATCTCAAGGACAGCGGTCAAATTGACGTCTGTACCCTGGATAGGTGTCACTTTCCCGAGAGGCGGGAAGCTTTGTAAAACAACCTTCATGTCTTCAGAAACTGGCCGTGGTGAAGGCTTCTGCTTGGCGATATAAATTGCCTGGAAGACATCGCCAAAGTTGTAATTGTCAGAAGGCATCGCAGTGAAATGAGAACAAGAGGAGCAGACTTGATTGAATTAGGTTTATTTAGCCAATTGACTGAGAAGTTCAGGCTTCTCATGTATGAATTTTAGTGAATATTTTGAACGTGAGAATCAAGGGAACAGGCATAAGATCACATCAACAAGTTGATGTTGTGTGATGATATTCGTGTTTAGGTACACAAGGCATTGTCATAGTTGCTCACGAAAACGGACAGGCGTTGGATTATGGTGGAGTTACAGTGGAGCTGGAAGTGGTTAGTAATGGGCCCTTCTCATTGGTTCCGGCCTTGCTTTCGAGTCGTTCTGATTCGGGGACGGCCGGAATGACTAAGCCTTACGCCTCATTGCTCAGGCTGCAAATTATCTCAGTAAAGCTTCTAGCCGAGCCAGATCGAAAGATTTCATCAAACCACTCAATTCAGCGTCGACCCTCCAAACCTGCGTCATGGCGTCCCGGAGACTGGCTTTGAACCTCTCGCGAGGTCTGCGAAACCGTGCTGGTCTTTCGGCCCCCGCTCCTTTCACACGAGGCTTTGCCACTCCTTCTCCCGTCGGCAAGACTCAGACTTCGACTCTTAAGAATGGATTGACTGTGAGCATCTTCATCCGAGGTCAATTGGCCTCGACAACCACTTAGGAATGCCCTCCTGACACGCCCTCCTGATAGGTCGCTACCGAGCACTCGCCCTTTGCGCAAACGTCGACCGTCGGTGTCTGGATCGATGCCGGTTCCCGGGCTGAGACTGACGAGACCAATGGCACCGCCCACTTCCTTGAGCATCTCGCTTTCAAGGTTCGACAACCCATCAATTGGCCGAGACCAATCGTTAACAATGCAATCAGGGTACCGCCAAGCGAACTCAGCAGCAATTGGAGTTGGAGATTGAGAACATGGGTGGTCACCTGAACGCCTACACTTCGGTCAGTCGGATGAAGGGATACGGAATTGACTGATGCTAACGACCATCCAGCGCGAGAACACCGTCTACTTCGCCAAGGCTTTTAACTCTGATGTTCCCCAATGCGTCGACATCCTCTCCGATATTCTCCAGAACTCCAAGCTTGAGGAGTCCGCCATCGAGCGTGAGCGCGACGTTATTCTCCGAGAGTCCGAGGAGGTTGAGAAGCAGGTTGAGGAGGTTGTTTTCGATCACCTCCATGCTACCGCTTTCCAGCACCAGCCCCTCGGCCGCACCATCCTTGGCCCTCGACAGAACATCCGCGACATCACCCGAAAAGAGCTCACCGACTACATCAAGAACAACTACACTGCTGACCGTATGGTTCTCGTTGGTGCCGGTGGCATCCCTCACGAGCAGCTCGTCGAGCTCGCTGAGAAGCACTTCTCCGGTCTTCCCTCAAGTGCTCCTCA